TTCAGGTCGTCTAACTTTTAACGCAGCCTTTTCAGCACTTCCAAATAGTAAACTTGGTTCACTGTTTGTCCAGTTGGTACAAATTCATAATGAATAATTCCTCCGATATCAGAAAAGGTTAGCAACATCGTTGTAACAAATTCACGAACTTAATTGTCACACCTTGTAGCCACTACCCAAGTAACACTACTTAGAATTCCACAGCTCTCCATGTTGGATTCAAAAGACCATGTGGGTAAGCAAAATATAGCAGCTCACTGAAAACCCTAATTAAGGGTCCCATCGCATTTAGGAATCTGCGTGCATCATGTGAAGTGAAAATTCCCAAGCAGAGTGGCTGGGTTTCAGCGCCTTCTAAGCCCCATTATGGGTTGAAATTATATCATCGCTGGACTTAGAAAAGTCTAATTCTGCACCAGTTTATCCAGGCTTCCGTGAGGGATGTAGGAGGGTGCAGCACATTGAAGAACAAATGTCAGCCTGGCTGCACCCACTCCTGGTAATGCTGCTGGGGATGTGGGAGACCAGGAAATACCGCTGCCACCACCAGCCCTTCACGAGCTTCTGAGGGCTTGTATGCAAGTTGGGGGTAAAGGACAAAGAACAAATCACACAACACAGCCCCAAGGTTCCCAGTCAGAGGTGGAACTTGGAATCGTGGCGACCTACCTTGTAGCCTTTTGAGGTCAGCGGGGTCGAGGGCAGCCACAGCTTCAGAGGCTCTGGACGGCCGGCTGATGCCCGCGTTGTTGATGGCCCTCACACGGAACGTGTAAGACCGCCCTTCAAACAGCCCGGTGACGGGGTACTGGCAGATTTTTACGGGCGAGTCGTTGCACTGAACCCAATTGTTAGTTCCCACTTCACATCTTCAAACAAAGAAGAGAGCGTAGAGAACAGCAAATACGTCAGTCTGATGAATACATACAAAGGCATATACACATTTATACATACGTGACATATACCAGACATAACAGGAAAACACCTCACATTGATGAAATCAATGCCATCAAAATATGGACTTATACAAATAGTATAAATAAACTTTGAAAGACAGTTATTTAGGAAGTATAATATATAAATAAATAAATATATATATATATATATATATACATATATATGTATATTCCTGAGCCTTTATAATTTATAGCTGAAGATCAATTCCTGACTTCAAACACATTTAGGCAAAATCTCCTCTAAAAGTCATCCATCCTTGATAGCCCTTTTTCAACTTACACCACAAAATCTCAGGGGCCCCTAAGCTCCCCTCATGTCTGTGGAGGCTGAGGAAGGGCGCTGGCCCTTCACGCCAGGTCCCAGGGACAGACCTGACCCCAATGAGCCCGGGACCAGCTTCTCGTTGGAGAGCGCGTTTGTTTGCTCCAACTATAGCAATGCGATTCTTTCTAGCACGCTGCTCATGTGGAATTGGGAAGTCCTGACCAGACATCTGGAAATGTAGAAAAGATTAATTTCCGTTTTTCAAAGGTTGTGATATTTCAACATCAAAACTTCTTGTCAAATACCCAGGAGAAAATAGCAAGTTGAGAAAATTAGTCCTTCCGCGAAATTCGGCATCAGGGCTGCGCTTTGGTGTTAGAAAGAATCAACTCTCTCTCCTCCTGGTTATTTAGACTCTGATGACAGTTCTCCGACGCGTGTGTGCCAACCTGTCTCACAAGGTTCTGCTGTTTTGTCTCTTTTAATGAGGGAGAGGAAAGAATGGGTCATTAACTGAGAAGGTGCGCGAAAACGCTTTTTGCCAGATGGCTGAAAAAATTAAGAAATGTCACAGGGGAACAGAAAATAGCTTTGGTCTTGTTTGTTTGTTAGTTTGTTTCATTCAACTAAACCCTGAACAACACTCTGAAAGTCTGACTGTGGCATATCAAAATATTACAGTGGCGTGAACATTGTAGCTAAGCCAGTAGCCTTGTCCGGCAAGGGGAACTTAATCAGCTGAGCTGACTGATACTTTTTCTGAAATAACCATAGTATTTCGTTGTGTTTTATATGAATAAAAATTTGAATGCCTACCTGGGACCATCCGCCAATAGCCCAATAGCTTAGACCCTCCTATCTTCCTCCTAAATGATTGTCTGACTAATTTCCTTCAGTGACGGAAACATCCGGCTGAGGCCTACCCTGCAGATCCAGCGACCTCACCGGCTCCCGAGTCCTTCCCAAGCTCAGCAACAGCCAAGTGAAGGGACACAAAGAAATTAAACTCTGCTGGGTTTAATGATGATCTACGCTTACGTTATTAACTCAAAGCAAGATTCCAAATTTTAGTACTTTGAAACATCAATATGTTTTACTTGGAAACAAGAAGAAAACCTTACTTAATAGAAGAAAAAAGGATGTTGAGTGTGAAGGAGCCTGTGCTTTTAGCCGCATTCACCGAGCCCGTCCTCAGGTCCTCTGGAGGGAGGAACAGGGCTGAACGCGGCTCTGGGTGGCCAGGCCCATCCCAGCCAGGCTGACCCCCAGCAGAGCCGGAACCCGGCTGGAGAAGCCGACAGGATGTGGCACCGGTGCTGACCCAGCAACAGAGCTGTGACTGCAGCACAGACGGAGAGCGGCTGCACAAGGTCCTGCCTGCAGGGCGACGCCCCCCAGGAACTAACCCAACAGGCGTGCCAGGTGCCATCAACAGTGGTGGCATGAGCTACAGTCTAGAAAAACATCCAAATAGGTTTTCCCCAGTAAAATCCATTTCAGGAATGTTTCCATGCCTGTAATAACACAACAGACACTCACCGATCAATGAAATAGCCGATGACGGCGCCCTCCGAGGTCGTGTTGGGCGGCTTCCAAGTGACAATGACGTAATCTCGGTTTGCATCATGACACTGCACGTCCATGGGTGCGCCAGGAGCCCCTGTGACCAGCGGGTCAGCGTCTGCGTTGAGGGAGGAGAGAGACGGCCGGTGATCAGTCCTTAGCAAGGGAGCACGTGAAAGCCTGGTGACAGCTTCTTCCAACTCGGGCTCCGAGCTGCTCAATCTGACCCACTGTTTATGCCTCACCTTCAGGTGACTTACCTGTGCTTTGACTATTACGGATTAGTGACAAGAAATATAACATATTTATGAGTTTTCAAACTCAAAACACTCTCCCCTCTAGAAAACGCTCAAGTCCGTAATTTTTCTAAATTGCATCCAAAGCTGAAGTTCACCTTCTCTCGCTGGCATGGTTGTCACGTAATGTCATCTTGTCAAAAACTGACTGAAGAAACAATGATGATAATGTGGCCTTGTTGGCACCTGGGAAATATTGCCTTAGATGCTTTCATATGTCAAAGCCCTTAGAAAATCTGAAGAATGTTTTCCTGCAAGTTGAGAGCAAATGTTGGGGTCCACACTCTGCTCACGCATTTCACAGCTGTTTATGGCCACAGTGCAGTCAGGGCTTGTTTTCAAGTTTTAGTTACAGTGGAAGACCAAGAGCTGCTGTGAAAGTAACACACTGACCACTTCATTCTCTTCTCTGAGGACCGTATTTATTCAGGAACCAGGGCGCTCACACACCCCAACTCTCTGAGAGCCGTACAGGTGCTTGTTCAAGTCTCCGCAGCATATTCAAAGTTAAGGATTGTTTGACATCGAGCCAAATATTTTTGCTCACACCCAGGTCCTCTGAAAGGAGTGAAAACGGTTTGTCCCCCACTGGCGGTGCTGACTAGGCAATTCCGGCTCCATCGTATTCACTGGGTTTTTACGGGCGAAACAGCTTGCCAGAAGACACATGCGTAGGATGGAGGGTACGCGCCACCAGGCTAACAGAAGTGGTGGAACTTGGTGGCAGGGCCAAGGCCCCAGCCCTGCAAGTTGATGTGGTTCTGCCGGAGAGCGGGCTGAGGAGCGTTTGTTGGTCTGACTTAAATCATTCCCTGAAATCATTCACCCATTCTGCTCTAACGGGTCCAGGTTGGAAAAGATGAGGCACTGACGGGTGTCCAGGCATGTGCTACCTGGAGCTGGCAGCCGGCACAGGTGTGGGAGACATCAGGACAGGTAAGGCCAGGCCAGCCGTCGGGACAGAGCAGAGAGCAGCCGGCGACCGTGGGTGTGGGGGGAGGGGCCTCGGGCCAGGACAGCCCCACTACCGAGTAGAAGTGCGTTGACGCCTGCACAGTGGTTCTGGCTCTGCTGGGCGTTAGCGTGGGGCCAGATGCCAGGGGCTGCAGGGAGCATGGGGCAGGGGCTGGGAGAACTCCGAGGGAGGCACCCCCAAAACACAGGCTGCAGCTTTGCAACGGGACCCAGGTCCCCAGAAGTCCCCTGCCTTGAGCCTCCGCGGCTTCATTTGCAAAGGAGAAGACAATGGCATTTTCTGACAAAACTGGGGCAAGAATGTTTGATTATAGATATCTGTGTGCATGTACGTGTATGTGTATAAACACTTATATGTACATATACTATATCCATACTTTCATCCATTTTATATGTCTACACATCCACTATACAGAGAGAAAATACATATATATGTGATACACACATGCATATACCCAGATACCTGTACGTGACAGCATTTACAGAGCAGACATAAATGTATCACACATGTTCTCACATATATATATGAAGTATACATAAAACACCTCCCACTGTGCCTGGTATATCATGGGCCTTGTTTTCCTTTTCATAAAACCTGATCAATAAAGCCTTCCCTGAGGGGCCGGTGAGGACTCCATGTGACAGTAGAGCCGCTGCCTGACTCAGGCTCTGGCCTCTGTCGTCACTGCCTCAGACACACGTTCAACTGAGGGCAGCGGTCTCTCCCTCCTCAGCACATCCAGAGGGAAGGAGAGACGTGACAGGGACATACAGGCGGTGCCAACTCTGCGGCCTGCTGCGCTCTTGTGAGAAAGCCCCGTGAGAATTGTAACTCAGGTGTGTTCACTCTCAGCCGTGGCTTTATAAAGTCCTTTATCAGTGACCAGGGAGACCAAACGTCCCGCTTCTAACCTGTTCCTGGTTCGGCCTCACGGATCTCACAGGCTTGCTCCCAGGACATAAGCGACATACCCCGGAGACGCCCACTTACTGCCAGGCGGCGTGCCCACAGCCCGGGCATAGGCTCCCCCTCCCCCCATCAGCGCCCCTGGCCGGAGCCGCGTACCTCTGACAAACAGGAAAGCGCTGTGCTCACGGACGCTGCCCCCCGACGCGATCCGCAAGGTGTAGAGGCCTTCATCGTCCTTGTTCAGGTGGCTGAAGGACAGGGTGGCCTGGCCTTCCCCGAAGAACATCTTTGTCCACTTGGACTCCTTCACCAGCACATCTGAAAGCAGCAAAGGGCCAGGTGTGCTCAGAAACCTCAGATGAAGGACACAAGCATGGCGAGGTGGGACTCGCCAGCTTGGCACGACTGCACGAAGCGTCGAGGTCACGAGCATCCGAAAGCTATTTACACAAAGAGCACACGCGGGGATGGAGGGTCAGCAGTGAAAAGGACGAAGGTCAGCACAGGCGGACCTCGGGGACCGACAGGTAAATTACATCAGCGTGGCCACCGCAGCCACCCTGCTGCTCCCTATCCCCACGGAGAACAAAAGGCAGCCGTGGTCACAACTCCAGTCGCCCCTCCTTATCCGAGGGGGACCTGTTCTAAGACCCGCCAGCGAACGCCTGAAACCGTGGATGTACTGAACCTGTCTATACTGAGTGATTTCCTACACACACACACACCCCTTTTCACTTAAGGGGAGCACTTTCCAGCTGCCCTTGGGCATATCTGAGTCGCCAGCACCACTGCTGCTGCATTCAGAGGCTGTTATTGTGTAAAATACGAGCCCCTTGAACACAGCACTGCGACACCCCCCACAGCGGCCCATCCGACAACTGAGGCGGCTGCCAAGTGCCCCATGGAAGGGAGCAGAGCAGCTCAGGGAGCTGGACAAAGCGGTTGTTCACGTCCCAGCTGGGATGGGTTGGGGCAGCATGAGACCTTAGCTACTCAGAGCAGCACACAACTTAACGCTTGTGAATGATTTCTGGAATTTTCCATTTCCTATTTTCGGACTTCAGTTAACTTAAACCTCAGAAAGAGGAACGGCAGGTAAGGGGAGACTATGTATTCTATCTCAACAGAAGACCATAGGTCCCATCGCCCCTACAAACCCAACAGCTCACTCCCGAGCTGCTCTGTGCAAGGTCACCCACATGTCCTCTGGGCCCGGGTCACCCATACATTCCAGGCCCTGCCGTTTGGCACACAGAGCCCTCCGTCTCTCCCAGCGGAAAGCCACCTGTCCTTCAACGGCCTCCTCTTCTGCCCACAAGCCTCCTCCGCCCCAGACCTGCGCTCCGGGCTGAACTGTGTGGCCCCTGCCATGGGTGTGGCAAGTTAGCACAACCTGCTCTGGTTGTAACATTGCTTTACAACACTGTGTATTTTCCCAGCTAGATTATACATGTTTTATGGGCAGGAATGACATGATTCTTTGTAACNAGCAGTGAAAAGGACGAAGGTCAGCACAGGCGGACCTCGGGGACCGACAGGTAAATTACATCAGCGTGGCCACCGCAGCCACCCTGCTGCTCCCTCTCCCCATGGAGAACAAAAGGCAGCCGTGGTCACAACTCCAGCCGCCCCTCCTTATCTGAGGGGGACCTGTTCTAAGACCCGCCAGCGAACGCCTGAAACCGTGGATGTACTGAACCTGTCTATACTGAGTGATTTCCTACACACACATACCCCTTTTCACTTAAGGGGAGCACTTTCCAGCTGCCCTTGGGCATATCTGAGTCGCCAGCACCACTGCTGCTGCATTCAGAGGCTGTTATTGCGTAAAACACGAGCTGCTTGAACACAGCACTGCGACACCCCCCACAGCGGCCCATCCGACAACGGAGGCGGCTGCCAAGTGCCCCATGGAAGGGAGCAGAGCAGCTCAGGGAGCTGGACAGAGCGGTTATTCACGTCCCGGCTGGGACGGGTTGGGACAGCATGAGACCTTAGCTACTCAGAACAGCACACAACTTAACACTTATGAATGATTTCTGGAATTTTCCATTTCCTATTTTCGGACTTCAGTTAACTTAAACTGCAGAAAGAGGAACAGCAGATAAGGGGAGACTATGTATTCTATCCCAACAGAAGACCATAGGTCCCACCGCCCCTACAAACCCAACAGCTCACTCCCGAGCTGCTCTGTGCAAGGTCACCCATGTGTCCTCTGGGCCCGGGTCACCCATACATTCCAGGCCCTGCCGTTCGGCACACAGAGCCCTCCGTCTCTCCCAGCGGAAAGCCACCTGTCCTTCAACGGCCTCCTTTTCTGCCCACGAGCCTCCTCCACCCCAGACCTGCGCTCCGGGCTGAACTGTGTGGCCCCTGCCATGGGTGTGGCAAGTTAGCACAACCTGCTCTGGTTGTAACATTGCTTTACAACGCTGTGTATTTTCCCAGCTAGATTATACATGTTTTATGGGCAGGAATGACATGATTCTTTGTAACATTTTGCATTGTGTTAGCTCCTGAGTCAACGTAAGCAGAACAGCCTGTAACTGAACCCATGGAGACCCAGCTCCCTTTAGGGACACAGCCCAGAGGGGACCGGGACAAGCTGTGCACAGCTTGCACACACGGGTGGCACAGCACAGCCCATGCTGACTGAGGCGAAGGTGTTCGGTGGTCAGGAACACGGGGTCTGAGCCAGGCTGCCCGGGTTCCAGCCCCAGCGCTGCCCCCTCCCTGGGGACGCACCTGAGCAGGTGTGTTGTCTCAGCTCCCCACCAACAACAAGGAGCTAACCACCACCCCTCTCAGAGTCCCTGTGAAAATGGAGTTGTCACACTCAGAACAGAGTGCAGCTCGTGATGAGCTCTGATAAACGTCACCTATGCTTTAGCTGAGGAAACACGAAGGAAGACACGTGGCTCACTCCTCTAGTCACCTAGAAGCCCTCTGTAGGGAGCTATAGAAACCTCTGACGGCTCACCAACGCCAGGCGCCCCCTGTCAACCTCCGCACACTCCCCCACCCCCGTCCCCCCAAGGGGAAGGCCAGCGGCAGGCTCCAGGTCCCCCAGGCTCTCCTGGCTTTGCCACCTGCCCCGTGACAGCGGTGGAGAGGAACTGCCAAGCTCGCACTGAGTTTAAAACCCACTGGACGCCAGTGCGGCCCGGCCCGCAGCGCGCGCGCAGAGGCGCGGTGCCCGGGCGGCCGCTGTGCCCGCACTCACCGTCCCGGAACCACTCCACCCGCGGCTGCACGCGTTTCAGGTCCGGCGTCACCAGCAGCGTGCACTTCAGAGTGACCGTCTCGCCTTCCCTTCTGAAGGTGACCCCGAATTTCTCCAAAAACTGGACATCGAAGTGCATGTGTGGAACGACGGTCGTTAAGGGCACTGCGTGGAGAGAAAGGGACGCGGTCACGTGTGCGCACAGGGACGGCAGGCCGAGCGCACGCGGGCATGTCCCCTCCGGGACGTTGCAAAAGGAACTGTGGCGTGTTCAGCAACACAGTGTCACTTATAATTGCCGACAAAACCAAGTCACTAGATCCACAGACCTTCACCTCACGAAATCTCAAGAGCAGACCCATAGGTGGGGGGGGGGCGGGGGGGGGGTAACAATGCATGTTCCAGAAGGAAATCTACGGTAAACTTTTAAAACAGTTTATGTTTACAAATACATGCATTCGGGGAAATTTTTAAACAGCTGCCAACTTGGAGGTGACCGTTTCCTCTTAGGCCCCTGGGATGGCGGGGAAGGGCTGCAGCTCCCTCAGCCGGGGACCCTTTCAGCTCCGCAAAAGCAGCTGCGTGCTGAGCTGTACACCTGCGAGTGGCCGGTGCTGTGCTGCATGACTCTGACTCCAATCTGAGAGGTGAGGCGGCTGAGCTGCAGGTGTGGGCGGTGTGCACAGGGGCGCCTGTTATGTCACGACCTGTGCAGCGCAGTGTGCTGCGAATGCGTGAGGCCTCCATTTAGAAAGATAAAATTTTCACAAAGAGAAGAAACCAGGGCCTGGCACCTGGCGACTTCTGCGATCCCTTCCAGCTCCGTCACTGGGGACACCCTCCATGGGGAGCCTGCGTTGTCCTGGGGATCCGGGGGGCACTGTCACACATTTGCTGCGACACAGAGCCTCAGATCCCCCTGCCTCCACCTGTGTTGGCCTTGAACTTGACCCACTGGCCTGTTAGTGGTCTTGGATATCCCCCCAACTGTTGGACATAAGACCATCCAATAAAATCCACACAGAAATGACCAAAGTAAGCTACACCCAAGTGTTCAGTGGTCACCCAAGCAGGCCTTCCCCTCGGTCATCACACTGGCCCGTCCCTCACTCACCAACATTGGTTTGTAACATCCAGACATCAGATTATGATACAAATCAAAGCTGCTATGGGAACGCACAATTCTTCTTTTGGAAGGTCAGCTCAATCCCGACTCTCATCCACAACTATAAACAAGCCACACTACCAGGAGGTCATGGTTCTTCAGACGCCATCGGCCGGACTACCTGCGCCACCCTCACCTGGCTCCAGGCCTTTTGGTCCCAGAGAAAGAGACTGGACTTGCCTCCTACCGCGCATGTCACTTTGGAAACTGGCAGCCATGTGGTGACCTATGGCACATCAGCACGTGGGAGGGCTAGCGGCCTCCCACACGACGTTCACCAAGTGCTGAGAGAACATGACATGTGACAGTAGCTGAGCAGCGGGAGGCGGGGTCGCCCGCGGTGTCACTCGTATCAGAAAAAGACCAGCCTGGGCTTCTGAGCGGACAGCTGCCGCCCCTCAGGCCGTCTGCAGTGCTGCTCCCTACACGTGAGCACGGCGACTTTGGCAGAGGAAGAAAACTCTCCTTAAACACAAAATGTGGCCACAGTCCACGTCCCAGTCAAGGATTCGGATTCCTTTTTTTGTCCCCAATTCAAAATGTAAAGTTTCACCGGTGTCTAAGATTACCACCCTGCCACAGATTTACATCAGAACAAACTGTCAGCGGCCTGACACTGGCCAGGGAAAACTTGGAAAAGACTTTCTGGTTAAAAAAATAAATAAAAAATAAAATAAATAAATAAAATTTTGACCTTTAGAAAATAATCTTTAAAATGACATGCTTCGTCACTATATATTTTTCTGCCCGAAAAGAAAGAAAAAAATCCACTTACAGCCAATCGGGAGTCCCACGGAACAGAAGGGTTCCTCCTCCCCTCGGAACCCTGCAAGATAACAGGGTGAGTGAGGCAAAAAAGAGACAAAGAGGGCGCCGGCAGCCCGCCCGCGAGCCACTCACGCACTTCTCACCACCACGGCGGCGCTGGTGGACACCTGCCCGTGCACGTTGGTCGCCACCGCTGAGTATGTGGCCGTATCCTCGAAGTTCGCCCTGGGAGAGAAAAAGCGAGACAAGGTCCTCAGTGCCCTGGGGCTGTTCCGTAAACGCCAGCGACCCCAGTTGGAACACCCACGTTCCTCGAAAGCAGCCCGGGGGACCTAGACGCTTCGTTCATGAAGGTTTGTTTCAGAGCAGTGCCAGCTCTCTCCTGGAACGAGGATTAAGCATAGACATGGGCCAGGTCCGAGTACAGCGGGGCCTTGGCTTTGAGAAAGAAAGGCACCATCACCGCTGCCAACCCTTCACGTCTCTCCAGCCATCTGCGTCCCCTGCTGGCCCCGTCTTCCTCCCTCTGCAGAATCCGTGGTCTGACCTGTCGACGGGCAGCTGGCTCCCAGGACCCTGACCGCCACCTCACTGCACGCCAGGCAGCCCGTGCTCACAGGAGACTGTGCTCAGAACCCCGAGGGGCCAGGGTCACCAGGTACGGATGCATCCCCACCCGAGGGTGCCCCGCGCCCCACCTGAGGACCCGTCCTTGAAGAACGGCAGGGGTACGCGTTCACCCCTGGAAAGAACAATGGCCCAGGCACCGCCGGACCCCAGCTCCCCCAGGGGGGGCTCCTCCACCTTCTACATCCATCTCCCAAAAGCTAGAGCTCCTTTTCTTGGCTATGAACGGTCTTCCCAGCAGCTTCCCAGGAAACATCCCTGAGATGAATCCTCACGGAGGAGGTGATCCTTTAGGGCTTTTACTTAAATGCCAGACACTCTGCTAGCTACTTTTCCCGGCTATTTTGTTCATAGTCTCCAGGTGCTCTGGAAACTAGATACTATTATCCTATACATAGTGTGACAAAGTTGACACTTGAGGAAGCCGGGTAAACAAGGTCCACAAAACTCTAAAATCGGTGCTTGTTCTGCCAGTTGGTGCCACCTCTCCGAGAAGTGGGCATTGTGAGGATAATGCTACTCTAGGGAGAGAAACAGTGCAAAAAATCCCACTTGCAAGGAAAAAGGAGTTTACTGAAGCCTTACTTTCAAATGCTTTATGGAGCCAATAATGCCCCAAAGGCAAATTCGTTTTTAAGAGGTCATTAGAACTTTTATTTTCTATTGCAATTGGCACTGAAAATATCTTCTTTGACAAAAAATACAGTGTCTCCAATAAAGGACAGAGAGTTTCTGAGACCCGGGCTGTCGGCGCCTCTGTGAGGTTCCAATCCAGTTCTAGCGGGTCAGACGGGCCATCTGCCGCTGTACACACTGCTGCCCAGGGCAGCGGTCACACGGACAGAGCCCAGGTCCTCAGACACTCAGACTAAACGCATCACTTCAGGTTCCCCCAGGAAGGACACAAGGCAAACCACCAAGTTCCTCAACAGAGACAATTCCAGCCTGAACTCATTAGAGCTACTTTACCAGCAGTTTCCAGCTGTGTCCCCAGGGCAGAGTCATAGTAAATAAAACACAAAAATCCCCAAATGTGGCTGTTTACACCATCGCTAAACTTAACCTTCTGTGCTAATCTACCCAGTAACAGAGGCTGCAGGGCTGGGGGGAAGGAAGAATTATTTCTGTTCCCTACCCTTAGGCGTTGCTCAAACTTTTTTTATCTTCCTACTTGTGCGATTATATTTCATCTAAAGAATGAAACCACTGTGTTTTCATGACTGCATCCTGCAGACACGAAGGCGTGCCTCTTCTGGGAGCAGCCCTAGGCCTTTCTCTACAAGCATCCCACCCCCACCCCCAGCAGTATCACAGCACAGGAAGACCGAGGGAGCTGGGACCCCGCAGGCTGGCTGGCTGGGAGGGTTGGAAGGCCAAAGAAGCAAAGCTTTCAGGGAAAAGTGCCTGGTCAGAATCTCCTGACCTGGAGCCTGGACTGGGGACACACAAGCGACATCCACTGAGACTCAGAAGTAGAGCCTACGGCCAGGCGTGGCCCCGCTGGGCCAGGCACAGCGGTGCCCAGCTCCCGGGGGAGCAGGGTCACTGAGAGCGGGCTCACGCCGCCCTCCGAGCCCTCCGGGTGGCACTTAGGATCATGGATTTCGGACCGGCTGTCCTCGGTACGCTACCGATTTCTTCTGCGACGTCTGTCTTGGCAGTTTTTAAAACCACAGTAAAAACATGCCCTGGACACATTGTATACTCATCACCTACTGTCACGTCCTGCAGCCCAGTGTGGCTGTGCAGGGACGACCCTCAGGTAAGCTGCCTCTTGTGCTTAATGGGAGGGAACGCTAAGGCGTCAAGGGGAAAGTCGGTGGCCGAGGAGAGGCGCAGGCCCAGCTCTCCAGCCAAGGCCGCGGGGCAGCTCCTCCCAGAGGATTTTGAGCTTCCTCCACACCTGACTCTCACTTTAGCGCCGGCGGCTCCTCAAGTCGCCAATTAGCACTTAGTACTTAGAGGTGGGGTGAGGCTGGGAGCAGTGGCCGCTGCACAGGGAGCTGGAACCTTCTGAGTACCGAGTGTCTCATGTGCTTCTGTCCAGACAGGGAGGGTCCTCAGCGGCCACCGGTTTGCAGAGGAGGCCACAGCCCCTGAAATCCTCAGACCCGCTGCCTTACGCCCCGGTGCCCAAGGCCGGGGGCTGGGTGTGGGGGGGGAGCTAGGACTTCAGGGGCTCACTGTCAGCTCAGCCTTCCTGCATTTCTCTTCCGTGAGTGTGCTGCTTTATATAAAATGCACTGCAATAGGGGTACACATGCAGAGCACAACTAAGCAAACACATAGCGAATCCTGGGGGAGGGCTGCCGGGAGGGCGCCCCTGGGGCACCAGGCAGAGTGGCCGCGGAGGACCTGGAGGGGTCTTTGCCCAACGTGCCATCTCACCCGAGGCTGATGTGCAGCCTGGGAGCGCTGCCCCCCCAACCCCCGCTCCCTGTAGCCTTTACTTCACGCTGCCAGAAACTGCAAGCAAGTGATTAAGGGGCAAAGGGCTTTGCTTTCTGTTTGGACAGTTTCCCAGGAGAAACACAGTCCCCCTTGGTCTCTGTTTTCGCAAACTCCCAAGGGGTGCTTTTGCACCCCCAAGTCTCCTTGTGAAGTACCCCCACATCAACGCCATCGGAGAAACTAATGACATTTTATCTGTTTTAAAGACAAACGTTTACAGGGCACATGAATTTGTCCTCATGAATGCGTGTCCTCACCTGTCGACATCGGATTTAAAATTTAACTCATTAGAATTTGACTATCCAAGTCTAAAAATAAAGTGCGAGAAGAGGTTAGCCCTGCAGTCACTCTGAAAGGGCGGGGGTGGAGGGGTCATAAAAAAACACAAGATTGTACTCAGCACGTTCATGAATGTTGAGGACGGCATTAAAATTGTTTGAGGAAACAGAAGTCACTCTGTGAGCCCCAGGAGTGAGGCTGACGCGCCTACGAACGACCCTGTCAGCTGCGGCTAGAATTCCAGCAGCCTCCAGGGGGGGTTCTCTTTCAGCACTTTAAGACTTCAGGGACAGTGGCCAAAGGATATTCATAGGAATAAATGTCACTCCCGGAACAGGAGGGAACACTCTCTCCTACCCTACCCTCCCCCCGCCGTGGGCCACTCAGATCGGGTGACGGGGACTCAGCATATTGGGTGAGCAGCTGAGGACTGCGGTCCATGGGAACTCCCCAGGCTGTCTTGCTAAAGAGTATTCGCATTTCATCTGTCTGAAACGTCCCAGTACGAGTAAGAATGTTGAGAGAAAAGTTAGTCTCGGGGGTTTCCTTGGCCCAAATTCCTCACATATTTGCAGACCACGCAACCCCGAGTGTGTGAGGAGGCCGGGTCTGCGGCCTGTCCCCCGGGCTCCAGGCCGCAGTGACCCGTCGGTTCCCGGTCACTCGTGAGGCCCACACTGGCGGGAACAGGACTTCCTTCGTACTTGAGAAAGGGAAACAGATTTTTCTTTTTAAAATAATTATTAAAATACAGCTTGGAAACACGCCACTCGCTAACTCCAACTGACCCACCCAGCCCCCAACAGTCACGGGCACCCCAGATTAGAAAACAGACATCCTGAGGATAAACCTACTCCCCAAAATGAAGGCGAAGCTCTCCTCAGCACTGCAGCTTATTCCCTGTTAAATGTCCACAATCTGGGGAATCAACGGAGCGAAAGTGAATCTGAAAAATGCAGCCGGGGGCCAGGGCGATGCCAGCGCCCGGAGGAGGGGCCTCCGCCCAGCACATGAGCTTGCCCCCCATCCCAGGTGATCACGGCCCCAAACTTCAACTGGTTTTGACACCTCTTTTTCACCAGCACCCCAAGTCCAATTCATCAGCAAATCCTATGGGCTCTGCCTTCACAATCTGGGTGGAACCCACCTCTTCCTCCCAGCCCCCCGGTCCACGCCGGCCCCCGCCATCTTTCCTGAATTTCAGCAAAGCGTCCTGACAGCCTGCCCTGCCCTCTGCTCATGGTGGGAACGACCCTCTGAAACCTAAGTCAGATCTTTCACTTCTCTCATCTGAAGTACCCCCGTCGCCCCCCAAGTAAAAGCTGATGTCCTTCCAAAGGCCCCGGCTGCTTCTCCAGCCTCCAGCCTCCTGCCTCCTGCCCTGCGACTCCCACCAACCCCTGCAGCCCCAGGGCCAGGAGGCACCTTCTCTGCCCCCCATCCCCACCCTCTCCATCCCCTGCAGACCCCTCTGCCCCCCATGCCCTGCCGGCTGTGCTCACGAAGGCCTCCAACCCCTGCATTTAATGCCCCCCCAGCCCAGAGACCCTCCACCCCCACGCCCAGCAGCCACCACCGTCTGATTTCCTGTATAATCCCCTCAGTATCACGCTATGGTTCCTCCCTACGCCAGACAGAAGACCTCCAAGACACCACCTTGGTTTGGGTCCTGTGTCCCCAGCACCTGGAGGACAGCACGGCACACAGCAGGGTCTCCGTGAGCAGTGCCGGCAGGGCCGCCAAGCCAGGGCCTCCGGCTCCTCTAAACAATCCTCAGAATTACCTAGAGAACCAAGCTAATGACTCACCACAGGTTTTCATCTTAACTGTAACCTTTTAACACCTGTTCTAATTAATCTGCAGGTGCAATATTGGTTCATGGTGGTGAGGGACCTTCCAGACCTCACGTGGCTCCGGGAAGGCTGCGTGTGCCGGGGGGGGGGGGCCCCGTGGGGACACGTCCTGCAGTGTGTGCCGGGGTGGGGGGGGCACTCCGTGGGGACACGTCCTGCAGCGTGTGCCGTGGGGACACGTCCTGCAGTGCAGGCCAGCAGCACACGGAGGGTTGGCCAAGCCTGGGCTCCCACCCACAGGTCTACACTGAGCCCAGTTCTGACACAGTCACCACCCTACAGCTCAGTAATAATAAGATCCACAAAATCAGATATGCAAATGTCTTCCTGACTTTTTACATTATTTATACTACTAACCCTCATCTTTTCCCAGGAAGGACTTGCTCCAACTCACTACACACACAATCACCACCTATTTATACAACACATATAAATAAATATGTTCTTATTTGATCCTCACAAAAGCTATCAGCAAACAAGATGGCATTCTTATCACCTGTGTCTTGATCATTATTTTCAGACAAAATATGACAATTCAGGAGGAGCCCATGACTGTGACCCAGGCTCACAGGTAAATGGTAGATGGGGACCCAACCCTGGTCTCTGGCCCCTCGGTTTTCTGGAGAATGGGAACACGTCATGATATACCATTTGTGAAAAACGGTCGATTGCATAATGTTACGATGTTTTTGTAAAAAAAAGAAAAACTGTGTATGCAGAGAAACAGAAAAAGAAGAGCAGAATCTTACTTTTGTTTAAAAAAAAAAGTGGAAGTGTGTGTGTGTTTCTACGTGTGTGTGTTGTCTCAGGGAAAGGCAACCCCATGTATACACACAGATTCTGACAATGGGTGTCGGGAATATGGATGGTTTTTGTTTCCTTTTACTTACCTGTATTTTCTACATTTTCTCAATTTGTTCTGAGAAAAAAAGGCTGTGTTGCTTTGAAGAGCCTGAGCTGAGGGATGGCTGCTGAGGGCTGACCCGCGTGAGGCCTCCTTGCGTCTCACTGTGCCGTCCACCTGCACCCACCGCCTCCCCTGAAACCATTTACTCTCTGTTCCCAGAGCGGACCTGGCGGACCTGCGGAACTTGCATCCGTCTGGCTTGACTTTGAACATGACGGAGGAAGCAGGTGGCAGCACAGGTGAACTCAGCAGGGCCGTGACCGGCAAGTGGGGTGCGCCCTGCGGGGCTGGCCGGGTCTGTGTGGGAGGCGGGCTGGCTGGGGGGGCAGCCCTCACGCGCTCACCTGTGGATCTCCAGGGTGTGCACGCCATACTTGCTGTCCACTCTGTACTTGCCGGGCTCGGCCGCCTGGCTGAGCACACACCCATCTTTGTACCTGGACAAGGAGACACCAACTTCAGTGCAAAGGCGGCCTGAGCGCTGCCTGTGCCCCGCCCGCCCCCACTGCTGCCTGCGCAGGCGTCACTCTCCACGTCACAGCAGTGAGCAGAGCGGGGACGGCTGGAGGACACCCAGAGCCCCGTCTCTGACGAGTAAGGAGGGAGCAGTGCTTGCAGAATCCTAACGGCCTGGACCACCTCGACCTGTGACACTGTGCGCCCCAGGCCCCCTGGGGACCCTGTTGGACTTCAGGATCTGTCATTCCATAAGAAAAATAAATGGAACCAACGTCGGCTGGGTCCCAGCCCCCCTGGGACACGGTGTAGCTGGAACATGCAGGGACAGCTCTGGGGGGTCCACCCACCCTGATCCTGACTGGAGGAAGCTGGCCTCTCGTCCCACCCAGGACGCAGGACACGTGTCCTCCAAGACCAAGCGCGGTGGCTCCCAGCTTGCCTGCGAGCAGCACAGCACTGGGGAGCTATTTCTCTGATCTGCCACTGAGAACCCCAATCTGGTGACAAGTGAAATGTTTGTGGTGCCTGTAGCAAGCTACAGACTTTGGGGACTAGGTCATCACCTCCAGCCAGTGGGAAAACAAGGAACCCATATGTGGAGTAGGTGTTGAAACAGAAGGACCTGAGGGACTTAGACACGTGACTCTCCCACTGTCACCAGTCATCACGCATGTGGCCCCAAGGCCTGAGGTTCAGGCTCCCTTAGAAGCCCCCACCGAACTAAACGCAGAGCCACAGGTGAGCATGGGGCATTTCTAAATGAAGACCCCCTGGAACCGCGGCTGTGTCCATTTCACTAAGGTGACAACACCCGTGCACGTCTACGGGGACACCCGTGAGCTCTGTAAATGTGTTTCCCCACATGGTTTTAGGCGTGGCCGCATGGCACTGTCCTTCCCGTGGTCCTTGTCACCCGTACCCTAGAGCTGTGGCCAGGCCCGGCCCAGCAGGGACCCCACTCACCACTGCACCACGGGGGTGGGGAAGCCCTGCACGGTGAAACACAGCTTCACGGAGGTCTTCTCCCAGACCGTGTGGGACCTCAGCCGCACCAGTATGTCAGGGGCTCGTCGCATCCGCTCCTCGAACGCGTGCCTCTCCCAGGCCAGCGTGGTCTCCGCCTGTTGCTGGAAAGCAGGGACAGGTCAGGGTGTGGCAGAGGGGACGCGCGCGAGCAGGGCTGTCTGCCGTCAGGCCACACGAAGGCCATGCTGACCAACCGCGACGTGGCCCAAGCCCCCCAAGCCCCGAGCCCGCCTACCATCTGCTGAAGGGAGTATTTGTCCAGCTTGTCGCGAGCCTGTGACCGTGCCAGGTGCACACTGCCCTCCAGCTCAGCGAGCTCCCTGAGAAAGCGTTCCCGCTTCGCCTCTCCGTACAAAGCCACCTGGGACTGGTACCTGCGGGGCGAAGACGGGACATGACTGTCGGGATGAGGAAAAGGTGCGTGGTCACTGAAGGTGTACATGTGTGTGTTAGTGACACCCTCGTGCCAAACTGGGTGGGGAGCCGTCTGCCCGGCCGCCCTGCACAGGCAGGAGTCAGGTGCACGGGAGGGCTCCGTAAACGCGGGTCTGAGAAAGTTGTGGGCCTTCTTCTCTGTTGTGCCACAGTGACAGGAAGGACACGTCTGACTCGGGCCTCGCACTGTCACGAGCTGCTCACAGGTCGGCCATCCTGCCCTGAGGTTGTTTAAACCATCTGTGTGTAGGGGACATACGGGGGTCCCTGCTTATCCCGGCTCAAGAGCACCACCGTGCCCCACACGGCAGAACAGCATTTGAGCTGGACGTTCTCCCCAACCCAAGCGCAAGCCCTTTGATGCGGCTCTTGAGGAAAATCCTCCTGCTGGCCTGTGATGAGGCCGCAGAACGCTGGTCCCCACACACAGCTATGCCATTTGTCCCACATGTGCGCCAATGACAGGCCTCTGGGATGGCCAGCCAGCGGGAGCATGTCTTCTAGGACAGAAACAAAGACATCCGGTGACCAGGATGTGCTAGGAGTCAGGAGCACACGGTGCCTCCTGCTGTGGTTTCCATGAAGACACAGCAGTAACTCAGCCCAAGAACCCACAGCTTCACCTTTCGCAAAGGACTGATTTGTCCCATTAAACTTACATCTATGGGGGGTGAGGTGAGGGAACTAAAGAAGTGTTTCCTGTAAGGCCAGAGGCTAGCCAGAGCGGTGCATACTCCTCGCGAGGACGAGAGCCCCTTTACCTCTCACATCAGGCTACACAGCGCCCATCCCTGCCCTGCCCCACACGGCAGGGACAAAGCAGGGAAGGACACAGCCTCTGCACGCTGGCCCAACTCAGCGACCTGCCACTTCCAGGGACACACTTTTGAAGGAGGAAAGAGCTAAAGGCAAAGAGAGCTTTCACGTGGCAGGTGTGCACGTGGGCTGGGAGCAGCACGCTGTGACGTCTCTGAGGGCACAGCTCCAGTACACGAGGGTGGGCTCAGCGCCCCGCTGGCAGCGTCACCCGCCCTCACCGGGATGGCTGGAGAGAACGCACACCTGTGACCAAGCACGTGCTGCCAGCGGGTTGACTGCTGCGACCAGGAGCCCTCTGTGTTTTAGGAAGATTCCAACAGCCACAATTGTCACAAAGCCCATGTTTCCGAGACCACGTAAGTTACGGTCACCCGCTCCCTGACTATTCAAGCTAATAAACATTTACTTTCCGCATTTCACACCTGGGGAAACTGAGGAATGGGAAGTTTATGCAACATGTTTGAGGCCACACCGGGTATAACTGATAAAGTAAAATGATAAATCTCAAGACGTCTCACTCCCCAGGCCAAAACTTAAATGTAAATAGAGCCCTTTTTTAAATAGGCCAATACAGAAAAACAAAATCCAAATTTTTTTAAATGTATACATTTCGAAGTGATCCTTTTACAAAAGAAGCCTTCGCTGTACAATAAAATTATGTGGCAAATTCCCATTAGGCATTTAAAAGAGGGCTCAAATTTTTTAAAATGAGGATTCATCTTTTCAGCTACACATTGTTTTTATTAAACAGATTCCTTAGTCATAGTGTAACTTTCCAAATGAAACTGTTTACCCAAATTTCACTTTTCCTTCAGGTTTTAAGTGTTCTAGAGAAATAGGAAGAACCTCCTAGAAGCAAATAGCAGGGGCGGTCAGGGGAAAACACAGCAGGTATCAGACGGGGTGTTCACGGGCGTTTACCTATTTTGTTCTTAAAAAGACCAGAGTAAGGGCTGGCCAAGTGGCGCACTGGTTAAGAGCTGGCTTGGGTTGCCAGAGGGCCCCGGTTCGGATCCCACATATGAGGGCCAGTGACACTGCCCTCCACAGCTAAGATGCTGAACAACAGCTCAACCTGGAGCTGGGCTGCCGTGAGTTGCCGGCGACGGCGTAGGCTGCAGCCCCTGTGGCAGGTGGGTTGCCATGGGCTACCGTGTGTGGCCAGCAGCCAGCGTGAGCGGCCAGCAGCCGCAGTGAGCGGCCGTCCAGAAGCCGGCGACTGATGTGCCTCACCCGGGAAGAGCGCAATGATGGTGCCAACTTGGGCCAGTGAAGCAACGTCCTCCACAACTAAATTGAAGAACAAAAGGACAGCAACTTGTCTGTTCCCCTCCCCCGATTCCCCAGCACTGTTCCCATCCCCCCAATTCCCTAATAAAAATCTTAAAAAAAAAAAAAGTTATAAAAAAATGCGTAGCATTTAAAAAAAAAAAGACCAGAGTAAGACCACCAGCTGCTTCTCTGTGGTCTAGAAGTAATTTTGGGACGGCCGTCCTTATTAATCCATCTCATTTCTCTGGCATTTTCCCATGCGCTGAGGCCACTGAAATGTGGGGTGTGGCCGTTTATAGAGCCCGCACACTCGGTTCTACAGAAACAGCTGGTGGAAACCCTAGCCCGCTCTGGGACATTGTCTTACTTGAGTCTACCCCCCCCTCACTGTTCTTTACCAGCTAGAGAGGCTGTTGGTGGAAATTCAAAATTAACTTCAAACAGTTAGGTCCCGATGCTTCCAATCATGACCACCCTGTTCTACGTGGAAAGGCTGAGTGCCGGGCGGGACAGCTAGTGACAGGCCTGAGACCCAAGGCCAGCTGCCGCGTGCGTGAGGCCTGGGACCCCGGGCCACAGGCCACACTGTCCTCCTCTGCAAACCAAGGGGAAACTTTATGCCAAGTGGTTTCTTTGTGGGGGTTCATTGAGACAAGGACGGTGAGGACTAGCGACTGGCAAGCAGGCGCCATGGCTTTGATTTCAAGCGAGTGTCGCCTTGGCTGTCCTGTCAAGCGCCCTGTCAGCCACGGGCCTGCACTCCCGTCTCTGACCTGCAGGGCCTCCTTGTTCCCCGGGCCGGACGTGTGCGATTCGGCGGCCCTGGCAGCCCCGCCGGACGGAGGGTGGTCTGAGAGAGGGCAGGGCGGTCACCTTCTTTTACTCTCATGCTCGTCCTCCTCCGACTCAGAGCTCAGCCTCTTCGCACACAGCCTGCAGGTGGTCCCGCCCAGGGACGTCAGGCTGGAAGCTCTCTGCGAGGACGACTGCTGAGCAGAGGATTTCTGCGAGGACGACTGCTGAATAGAGGATTTCTGCGAGGACGACTGGCTCGAAGCTCGCCTTGATGGACAGTGGAAACAATCAGACGCAGAGAAGTGCAAAACCATATCGCACAGGCAGCACCCTTTTCTTCCTACACACCACGAACCACCCTTGAAGCCTACACCCCTGCACACAGGCGCACACACATACATGCACATTCATGTACTATGTGCACACCTCTCTGCAGGCACACACGCACGCACATGCTTACCTGCACATCACCTTTGTACACAAAAACACAAACAGTGCACACACAGGCACACTCACACATGTGCGTGTGCACAGACACACATGCAGACATGTGCCTACATGTGTTTGTATGCATACATGCATGCACAGGCATACACACACGTGCACAAGTGCACACACAGGCACACATGTATGTGCACCTTCAAACCTACATCCCTCTGCAGCCCACCTAGCCCGTCCTCAGAGGGACGCTGTCACAGACTGAGCTTCCCAGCACCCTGGCCACCTCCGCTCAGGGCCAGCGAGTGCCTGCCACAGCCTGGCCCAGAGCCACGATTATATATATCTTAAGGGACTTGAAGCTCCCCGAGGCCATTGGGAGGGGCGGTGAATGTTTGGCTTTGTTTGTTACAGGGATGGCAACTGAGTACCAGGACCATGGGCATTTCTAAATATAGGGTGTTGGGGACATGCTCTCGGGCTCCTAGGGGCGGAGCACGCCCTGCGAGCAGCGTCTTTCATGGTTTGGCTCAGCCCTCCAATCGGCCCATTAAAACTGCAGATGTGGCGTTGACTGGGCAAGGGCCGCAGCTCCCCGAGGACACTGTGCTTTAGAAGAACCACGGCTTGGCCCCAGCCTGTTATGCAGTGAATCAATTCACCTCTTGCTTCTTAGTTACTAACGCAGCGAAGTTACTGTTCCTATCAGCTTCCGCCCCAGGCTTACTCTACCAGCCCGTTGCCCACGGACACCTTTCCTGTTGCTTCCCTCCCCACTGCCCTGCTGGAAGGTGCCTGCCATCTGGTCTAATCCAGGGCTCAGCACCCATCTCCCAGGACCTACCAGGGTCTCCCAGCACCTACCAGGGTCTCCCAGCACCTACCAACGTCTCCCAGGACCTACCAGGGTCTCCCAGCACCTACCAGCATCTCCCAGGACCTACCAGGGTCTCCCAGGACCTACCAGGGTCTCCCAGCACCTACCAGCATCTCCCAGGACCTATCAGGGTCAACCAGGGTCTACCAGCATCTCCAGGACCTACCAGGGTCTCCTAGGACCTACCAGCATCTCCCAGGACCTACCAGGGTCTCCCAGCACCTACCAGGGTCTCCCAGCACCTACCAACGTCTCCCAGGACCTACCAGGGTCTCCCAGCACCTACCAGGGTCAACCAGGGTCTACCAGGATCTGCCAGGGCCTACCAGCGTCTCCCAGGACCTACCAGAGTCTCCCAGGACCTACCAGGGTCTCCCAGCACCTACTAGCGTCTTCCAGCACCTACCAGGGTTAACCAGGGTCTACCAGGATCTGCCAGGCCCTGCCAGCACCCACCAGGATGCCATGAAGCACTATGCATGCAGCTCTCTGCCCAGCTGAGTCAGCCATGTCCCCTCTGGCATTGAGATGGTCACCAGGAAGCACTGGCATCTCTGACCACCCCCCACAGCAGTCCACACCAGGTTTCAGGGCACTGGATAAAGCTTCCTGCCTTTACGCATTGGACACCCATGATCAAATCTCTATGAGTCTAACCAGTGAATTTCAACTTACATTTTCGCTGAATATTCATTCAGAAGATACCGTGTTTGAATATTACGATACGACTGGTCGAAGTGCTTGTGTCTCCTTTGGTAGAAGGGCATGGCGACGAGCGACATCTTGGTGTACGTCTACAAATAGCGAGTAACAAACAGCAATGAGGTCCTTTCCAAATGGAGCCCATTTCCTCCAATGTCTACACTAATATTATGCATTGATCCAAAGAGGAAAACAACTCCAACTAGCAAAACCCACTGCGGGTAGTGAACGAAAGGAAGACTATATAAGCGTCTGGACTAGGAGCGTTGGGCTAGGAGTCCGATGAAGTTCCCTGGGACCCGATTTCATTTTTGGTTTGCTTCCATAACAACTAGAAGATTGGGCTACATGTTTCATTTCATTGTAAACTCAATAAATATTTGTAGCATGCCTAGCTTGTTCAAGGGTGTGAGTGATAAGGGTAAAATAATTAAAACACAGATTAGAAAAGTGAACAAATACTTAGAAGACAAGAGCAGAGAGACACAACGTGCCCCGAAAAATGAGAAGGGACACAGGAAACTGGAGAGGAGCAGCCAGAAGAGGTCCCCTGCGGGGGTGACATTTGAGATGGGCAGGCAGTGGGGGTGGGGGTGGGTGGAAAAGGGCTCCTGTGAGCAGACGCAGGAAGCCGCTCTCGGCTCTCAGGAGATCTGAGGACGCGTGAGGAGAAACCCCTCTGGAAAGGTGGTGACCACACGTGGCAGCTTTCTGTGTCTGCCTCGGGGGCGAGGAGCCTCCACGGCTTGAAATGGGGCTGGAGAAAAGGACTCGGTGTCCAGGATGCCTTCCAGACCCTTTTTCCTAAAACCACACCTCACAGGTGACCTGGGCACCTGCTCGTTGGGATAGGCAGGGAATGAAAGCCTAGGGCATGTCGGGGAGTGAGCAGGTGTGGTTAAATTCTCCCAAAACAAGAAACAGTTGCGACCCATCGGGACAGGACCTGGGACTCGGAAATAATAGTGCAGGTGTTAGACACAGCCATTTGCTACATACGTTCACCCAAAATAAATAAAATGCCAGGTTACTGGGTTATTTGGCTATAGCTAAAAATAATGTATTCCCAAAGCTGTGTGATTATTAATTCCTCAAATAAAGAGGCAAAAGAACTCCAAATCTGAGCTCCATTTTTGTCATTTGTGTTTAAAACGATCTGCCTTGATTTAAAGAAGGAACTCTCGGGCAAGGCCGCATGGCACCGCCCCCGAGGACATCACCCACACAGGGCAACACGAAGGAGCCCTGCGGTGGAGGGCAGCAGTCCCGCTCGGGACCGGCCGGCTCACCTTCACGCCCCACCCTGTGCAGCGCCGGGGTGGGCCTTAGAAAACCTGCGAGACACACAGTGTGCTCCAAGTATGCTCCTCGGGGCCAATCCCCTTCAGACCACCGTGTCCCAGAACCCCAGAACCCCAGAGCGTAGATCCGCCCTAGGAATGTTCCCAACCCCTGCACTCCAGGAAGGGCTGGCTGTGACACCCGGAGAGGCACAGGACGCGCCAGCACGTGTCTCCTTCTGACCCTTCTGTCTTTCCCACACTGACTTATCTCAGTGCTTCCTCTTAAAAACCAACCAGTCAAGCCACCACCAGGTGACCACTAAGGGGCCAGCCTATGCACTGCTGTGTGGGGACATAAATGTGATCACACAGACAGAACACACCGCAGTTCTGGAAGAGGAACGTGATGGAGAGGGCGCAGGTTTCGGCATCTGGCAGACCTGGGCTACAGGCCTGACTCAGCCCTCTGACCGGCCTCGGGCTAATCTCATCCTGTGACCCTGATGTGACAGTGGCACTGTGCTCGGTACACAGAAACGAACGACCGGAGCTGGCATCTGCCCCACCACACCGCGGTTTTTGCTGCTGTCGTTGCTGAGTGGAATTCTGTAGGTAGGAAACAGTATCTAGAAAAGTGCATCTCTCGCTTTAACGTTTGCAGGGCCTGCGACTGCATGTAGGTGGGACTGCCAGGGCCCCATCCTGTCTGTTTGTGTTTCTTGGCAAAGGGAAGGGCCCAAAATGGCCTCGGCGAGAGGAGAGGATAAGCTATCTTGAAATGTCTACGCTGCGGCCCCCAGCACCCCAGAAGAGGGTGTGCGCGTGTGCCAGGACCGTGAAACGGCTGGGCAAGGTCAGTGCCGCTCTCAGCCAGCGGCCAGCTCCCGGCTCCGGCACCACCAGAGCTCCACGTATGACTGGCTGACCTTGGCGCCTGGCTGCGTGGGCCTGGACATCCTCAGCGCGAGGACGTGCCCTCTAGTGGTCAGGACCTGGGCGGGAAGCCAGCGGACGAGGTTCTGTGTGAGTCGCACTGACCCGCAGGCTTTCTGGAGCTGTTACCCCTGAGACCACTTTAGGCCACGGTGGTGTCAGAAAACCCTGCTGCCACCTTGTCTGCTCACTTCATGAAGCACCATGCTGAGGGCCTTTAGAATCAGGTTTCGAGGTCGGCGAATGCAACTTCCTCAGTTCTCCCTGCGTTTCCTTCCAAACACTGGAGCATGTGCTGTGTGCCAGCCACGCCTGGATGGGGGGCCCGTCTCATGTCAGGGAGGGCACCCGTTAGAGTGCCTTGGCTCCGAGGACAGCAGCCAGCTCCCGTGCCGACGCATCCTTACGCCCCGTGCCAGCACTGACTTTCACCAGCCAGACGTGCTGGCGGAGCACGGGCAGCCTCAAGCCTACTCCGGCACTTGTTTGAGCTCTGCTCCCTGGCCTTCACCGCTCAGAGCCGCCCGCACTCCTACCTGCCTCCAGACCGGGGCCAGGAGCTCTCTGGAAAGCTGGTCTGCATGGGCTGCATGGCGCTTACGAGGACCCACAGAGAGAACCAAACCGAACTAGGGGCCGAGATTCCAGCAGTGAGCGGTGCCCATCCAGCTCACGGCCGACGTGGGGGCAGCCAGGATTCCTCCGCTCTAATGGTCAATGAACCTATGATTTAAAACCTAGTGGCCGCAACACTCCACCGCTAGCCCTGACCATCCTCAAATCCCAAAAACGCAGAGAAGGTATTCTAAACACACAGGTTTGGGTGGTTTGCAACAAATTGTAACCGAATTTACACGACCTGACGTGTATGATTTCATTCTGTCCTGAGGACTCTCTACCTTACTTGTGAGGAAACTGAGGGTAAAAATAAGCTGCCCGGGTGACCGGTTTGGCTGTGACAGAGCCGGCGCCGCAGCCCTGACTCCCACTAAGCCCCTGCCGTCTCCCGCCAGCCCTGCCGGCCGCTCACAGATCGCTCCCGACACATTTCGGAGTTGTGACAGCGAGTGGAACCTGAGCCCGCGCCACGTCCAGGGCGCGCTGTCTGGGACATGCTCCGCTCGGGCCTAATCCCTTCCTGCAGAGGTGATTTAGAAGCCATCTTTCATGTCACCAAGAAGGGCCGTAATTTCTGAAAACATTTCAACCACAATGCATTTACTTCCAGTTAGTAAGAAATTGTGGTTTGTACAGCGAAAGCTGTCAGGGTCAACAAATACCCCAAATTCGGGCTTTTCCAGGGAACAGGAAGGACCCCTGGGCACCTACAGCTGGCCTGTCCCCCGAGCGACTGGGCCTCGGTTCCCAAGACAAGGCTCATCCGAGCTCGCGTCCACCAGGAACCACTTTCCCCAAAGGTCTTTCCAAACGACTTAGCACCCAAAGTAGACACCAGCACAAAATAACTGCTAAAGCCATCGTCTGTGCTAAGTCCAGTAAGGGTTGCCATCCAATTTCTGGCAGCTAATTCTGAGGTGCTCCCCAGACCGCCCCTAGAATCCGGGCAGGACGGACCCTGGGGTGTCGTCAGCCCCTGCCCTGCACGCAGGCACAGGGAGTCAGATCAGGAGCCCAGTAATGTGTGACTTCCTGCACAGGAGAGCCTGCCAGCGACCCAGGCAGCTTCACAAATTGAGGGGATTAAAAACAAATCAACAGTTACAAAAATATTTCACTCCATAAAATTTTGCCCAGAGTCTCCTTGTTTTGAGTTTTTGCAAAGAGCAGGCGTGTGGGTGACAGTCCCTAAGTCAATGATAGCTTCATGCAAATTAGCCCCAAATGTAAGCCAGGCTCGGTTTATAGAAAGAACCCCTGGAAGTTCCCTGTGTCCACTCGCCCGAGGCCCGTCTGACTCGTCCTCAGTAAGAAAGGACCATGAAACCAGAGGGCGGCCCAGGCAGCACCTGCGTCCCCCACACCCGTGCCTGGCTGCCCCCTCCCAGGGCTGCCAGCAAGGACCCAAGTTCACTGTCTGTTTGGCAGCAGAGTTCCCAGAGCATGGCTGTGGGGGGCTTGGCTCCCGGTGGGGCGGAGCTGATAGGAGGGGCCCCACACCACAGCACGGAGCAGAGAACAGCATGGGAGCCTGCGTTCTGAGTGTGGGTGTGGGAACGCTGGCAACCTGAGCCGTGTCCCTTCCCTCTCCCCAGACGCTGCCATCCACGTCTGTGATAAATGACCACAGTTCCTTGTTCTCTTTAGAAAAATCCAATTTTATTTCACACCTTTTGAAACCTGCACTCTCCTCACAAATCCTTTCATTCTAAGACCCATGGAAATTGCAGGTGTCAATCAACCAACCTGGGGACCTGAGGACCAGCTGGGGACGTTGGGCCAGCGGGAACGTTCCGGCGGGGGGAGAGGGTGGCGGGGTGTGTGCGGGGGTGTCGGGATATTAGAACAGCAAAGACCGCGACTGCAGGAAATGAAGAAAACGCTAAACTCTAATCACAAAATATAGACTCAGATCTATTTGCTCTTTTTCTGTGTAGCACAGAGCATGGGGTTAACTCTTCCTTGCCCCGAAATGGGTCCACTCGAGAACCCTGCGTGCAGCCAGCTGCTGCAGAAGAAATTGTTCCTTCCTCCAAAGCCCCGAATTAGAAAAGGAAAGAAGAAAAGGAAACTTACCCAGAGAGAAAGAAAAGCTGCAAAGAGGAGAGAGGCTTTGCCTGGCCCGGCTCACTGGCCTCCAGCTCCGGCTGAGGACAGCCAAGCGAGTGGCCCCCACGCCTGCCCCACCCTCCCATTTATGGCCAAGGAGGAGCTATATATAGACACACGGGACTGCTCACCTCAAGCTGATCCCCGCATCGTAAATCATCAGCCTGATCTTAGGAGGAAAAAACTCTCAATCCAGTCGTAAAAAATCAGAACTGACAAGAGTCCATCCTGAATCACAAAGTGACTTTCCTTTGCCCAGAAAACTGTGACGATTCAGCTACCGACCCAGAAAAGGAGAGCAGGACATGACCCTCTAATGCGTTTCCAATCTTACATGCAAATCCCCAGGCTTATTTTCAATCCTTCGGAGCCACAGGTTTCCTGGCACATACACTGAAACTTCCAGACAAGTCCTGGGTCACGACCGAATGTCAGTCAGCTTTTTACGATTGTCAGAAAGAGTGCTGCTGGCCGTGGAGGGCGGGGAGGCGGCCTCTGCGGTTGGTGCTTCACAGTTTTTATATTTCAAAAACTACTCAGGCTTTTGCTTGGTTTCATCCTGGGGTCATGACTGCCTGCTTGAAAAAGGAACCAGGCCTGGTGGGCAAATCACGCCTTATTTATAGTTACTGCCGCAGATGAACGCTGCACAGAAACACCCAGACAAGTCAGGGTGTCCATCTTCCTGCATAGCATGTGTCCAAATAAAAATAACACAGGACTGGCGGGCTGCGGGCTGGAACCCAGTGCCCACAGCCGAGAGGAGCAGGCCATGGGGACACCCTGATCTCACGGCAGAGAGCAGGTCGCATCTCAGCTCACCACGGAGAGGCCCGCTGGGCAGCCTCTTGGAGTCTGCTTACCATCTGGAAAACATATGTAGGTTGTCGTCAAAACCATCCTGTTGTAAAAATTAGAGAATACAATCTATGGGAAGCGCCTTGGAGACTTAAAAATCTCCACATCCCACATCTGGTTTATCAGAACATAGCCCGGGACAGCAACCACGTGATGAGCGCGTGAACTGGGTGCTACCGAGGCACAGCGTGAACGTCCTTTCCTTCACTCCTGAGAGGCCCTTTGCGAACCTACTCACTCGGGGACGACACACTTTTATCTGGGGCCTAGGTCCCCTTCATATTACAATGGATAGCACATAAATACAGCGGCTGACGTGTTACTGCTGTCTGCCATCTTCCCCTCCTCAGCGAAGCCAATGCTGCCCTCGTGAGGTCCTCATAATGCACAGGCACGATGACAGTGCCCCGTCTCCTATCAGATGGCATCTCAGCGGTCCAGTCCCGGCTCCAGCCTCTCATAAGAAGACGTCAGTCCCGGGGTGGGACAGTCTCCTGAAGGAGCCCAGAGGCCACCAGCCCCCAACTCTCATTTAAGTTTCAGGATCCCCCGCGACACAGAAGCCCAGTCCTGGGACGTGGCATCTAAGAAGCCCTGGGGCCTCAGCCACACCACCCAGCCCTGGGATTGGTCAGAGCAGACGGCTGGAGCCTCATTAGGATATAGATTAGCAGGTAGAAATTGCCAACACATTTCTAAACGCGTTGAAAAATATAAACCCACAGGCACAGAAGCTCAACAAACATCAAGCTGAAACAACATGAACAAAACTTCACCAAGTCACAAGTCACATCATAATCTAATGGCTTAAAACCAATGACTCAGAAGACAGCATCAAAGCAGGAAGAAGAAAAGGCTTGTTGTGTATAAAGGGACCAAGAGAAGAGAGACCAACTTTCATCAGAAACGACGCAAACCAGAAGACAGCGTCCCGAAAAAAAAAAATCCCAGATCCACGCACACAAAAGTCTCTCAACAATGAGGGTGACCCCCCCACAGCCAGGGTGGTGTGAGTGGAGACACTTAGTGGAGGCACTAAAGAGGCCGCCCTGCTACGTGCAGCCCCGGGGTGTCCCCTCTGCCAGGGCGGCGTCCGAGGGCCTGCGGACACGTCTGCAGAGATGCAGGCTCGCCGAGCGCGGCCCGCACAGCGCCCCGGCTTCCACCCCAAGTCACTTCTTCCGCACGCTGCACCAGCAGCACACAGAAGCCAAGGCACAGACAGTCCCTCAGCCCCTCGGCCACAGCCACACAGCTGCTCCTCTCCCCCGTCTCCAGGGCCGCGCGCCCCCCGCTGGGCCCCAGTCCCCAAGGCTGCCCTCACCCTCCGCCCTCCATCACCGCTTCTCAGCTGCTGCACCTTAGTTGAACGCTCTCCACACCTCTCCTCACCTAAACCAGAGCCCCCCTTCAGCCCCACTTTCTGCTACAGCTACTGATCAGTCTTCCGCGGCCCGGCTTCTGGAAGAGTGTGTGTGGTCACATTTCCCGTCTCCTCACTGTCCACTAACCCTGTGGCCTTTTCCAACCGACCTTCCAGTCCTACGACATCACTCACCAAAATAGCTCGAAGCCACCCATGACTTCACGCCCAAGGACATGCTCCCCTCTCAGGTTTCTGGACCTCCCACCGTCGCCTGGCCCAGCTGACCACCCCTCCCTCCTGAAACATGCGCCCCTCTGCTGCTCCCGGCTCTTCCCGGTGTGTCTGGCCTTGGCCGGCCGGAGCCCCTGCAGCCCACGCTTACTGGTGGTGCGCTGCCCCACACCGCTGTTCAAAGCGCTTCTCTCATCTGTGCCCCCAGCATCACCCACACACTGTGGGGGACCGGTGCAGAGGTGAGCTAGACTCTGATGTCAGGCGGCCGCTTCCACGCAGCTTGAAGATTAAGCCGAACCTTAAACTCAACACGTCAAACCCTAACTTCTCCCCCTCTGCCCTCTGTCCAGTGTCCCCTAGCCCATGAGTGGCACAAGCCAGGGATCTTGGGCGCCTCCCTCAGGCTCCAGGCACCCCTCACGCCTGCCCCCTCCTCTCCGGGTCCACAGCCCTTGCCCATGGCAACCCCGTGGCCTCCTGCCTGGGACACTGACTCCCCGCACATCTCTGGGTCCTCTGCCCCAAACACCCCAAACTGATTCCCACGTAAATGCCTCAGAAGGCAGAACTGCTCAGTCACCCACGTCCCTTAAAGCCGTTTATGTCTTCAAATAAAGACCAACATGCTTAACATGTAAGCCCTCCTCTTGGCCTTCCGGTCAGTGTCTGGGTGTCTGGCTGACCAGGAAGTCCCAGGACACAGCTCAAAACCCGGCCCACGAAATACTCTCAATATATACTTGCTCACCAAGCAAATAAACCACATGAATGAGCCTCCTTTACGATTAGCAAGAAACGAGTGTAATAAACCTCGTAGTCTTGCCGAGCTCAAAGCAGCGTGGCTGCCTGCAGTGTGGGCGTTGCTCCACGTCCTGTAATGGAGCCCAAAGTTTTTCCATACTTTGTACCCACACTTATCCGTGGAAACCTGGCCGCGGATCGCAGCTGCGTGCCTGGCAGGTGTCATGTGTGCATGTTTGGCGTGATCTCCACGGTCCATCCTGAGGCGGGGTGTGGGGGCTGTGTGCCCAGGGCCGGGGGACACGGAGCTCACACGGAAGTTAGGCACGTCCCGACTCACAGACTTCACCAGGACCAGTTAGAGGATGAACGTGTTTGTAGCAGGTGGGAGACCCACAGAGGATGCGAGGACCCACGTAAGAGGAATGGCTGCGGTTGAGGTCACTTATGGTTCGTGAATGGAAACAAAATGCTACGTCGTGGCCAAGTTCATGATGATACTGTGACCCTCACACGACATTCACAGTTACGTGTCAACACTGAGAGCTGCCCGCCCGAGTTAGATCCTCACATACTGTGCCTTCCTCCAAAACCAACTGCGCCCAGCGGCCAAGGTTTGTTCAGAGGTGTCAGCTGTTTCAGGTCCGTCCTTCACCTTGACTAAACAGGGCTTTGCACATCATACAAGCTCAAGAAATATACTTTTTGTTAAATGCGACAGCATGGCTTTCATCCTACAGCCTCGGTTTACAGGTTTCTATTTACAGATAGGCCCCCAATTAACTGGAAGTCTATTTCTACGAAGCCGTGAGGTCACGACAAGCAGAGCGAGAGTCTGGCTGAGCCTGCGCTGGTCCCCACGGGCGCCGCTCCAGGCCTGGTCTCACGCGCCTTCCTTAGCCTGGTGTTGGGGCTACGTGACCCAGGCAGAGTCCCTCAGCCTCCTGGGCCTCGGGAGTTGGATTAGAAGATCCTTGTTTCAGCCCCAAGACGCTATGATTTCAAGCCGGAATGACTGTGCCTAGGGAAGGGGGCATTACCACACACGAACAGGGTGACCAGCTGCCTGGTCAGAGCCGGGTCCAGGACACGGGAACCAGAGCACAGGCCAGCCACGCCAAGAGGATTCCATCCCGAAAGCACTTAAGGGCTTAGAGATTACCAACAATGCCACCGAGCACGTGCTCCCAGAGCAGTGGCTGTAACACAGTGAGAGGGGACAGAGCACAGAGTACACCCAGCTGGCAGGGCTGGCCCTGTCCTCGTGTCCTGGGCTCAGAACAGGGTGGCTGTGGTGGAAGGCCGAGATAGGACGAGGGCCAGCCGCAGAGGACGCTCAGAACAGGACAGAACCCTGGCTGTCATCCCGCTTCACCCTACAAATGACCAAACCGAGGCCCAAAAAGGGGGGGAAAGTGGCGAAGGTCACATGCCACGTAGCGGGTTTGAACTAAAATTCAAAACCTTTATTTCTGGACCTCGTGAGCAGCCTCCAGGGAGGGACTGGTTCCCACAGAGGGTGGGTGGGACCAGGTCAAGGTCGAGGTGAAGGCCAGGATCCGGTTCCGCACATAACTTGGCCAAACCCCCACTGGGGGTGGAGTGGGGAGAGGGAGCCCACAGCCAGGGTGAGTCGTGGGGTGCTGTGCACACAGGTCAAGTCTGCTGAGATGCTCGTCTGGACAGCGTGTGTCACAAATGGCCTCCGCGGTCAACTTCTCAATACGGAGAGGTCAGAAACGGCCGCCAGGGTCCAGGGCCGCTCAGTTTGACCTCCAGCCACGGTTGCGCTGTCTCCTCGTCCCCGGGGGCTCCACACGGCGGGAAGTGGGGACAGCGTGACAAGATCTGGGCGGGGAGACTCGCTCTGCGGTGCGTGAATAAGACGAGG